CCAATGCAACATGTGCCCCTATCATACTTATTGATGAGATTTTTAAATGACCTTCAAAGTCAGAATTGTTGCACCCGTTTTGCTGAGTGCCACAGTCCGCCTGGTATTAAAGCGCCTGTATTATAAGTTCATATGTTCCGATTTAGGGCTGAATAATCACATTTACCTCACGTCCATCAACACCACTGAGGAATGTGCTAACTTCTTTTTTTTTTTTTTAAATAACGATTTTTTTTAGATAGGCCTACAAAAGCAGTGATGGACACAATCAAGACGGGGGGGAGCTGTGTGAGAGAGCGAAGGTATGCTGGATATTTGGTCATGTGTATTTTGGTCTAAATTTCCAGGGGATATTTTAGATGTTAATAGCCCTGAAGTGGTCTCGGTTTCTTATTTAATTTCTCTCGCCTTCTTTAAATGTAATTCGCCCACAGACTGCGCCGCGAGGCTCTAAACCGCGCAGAAACTCTCTCATCATTTCCACAGCAGAATGGAAATGCAAATCGTGCGCACGGGCAATGCCCTTGACAGAACTCACCACTGCACACAATTAACATGAGCACTCTGACAGAAGTTAGTGACGAAAATGTGAGGTCACACCAAGCTGTGTGTCAGATAATGTGGTCGTGTTTATTTTACACAGTCCTAAATTAAAACGCATGAAAAAGATATACAACAATAATAATAATAATAATAATAATAATAATAATAATAATGATGATGTGTAAGTCATTTTACCGCATGGACATCAACGCTCTCTGCTCTCCTTTTTCCTCTATAAAAATGTATTTTTATTTGATTAAAAATGTTTGGTGTGCACGCTGGTCAGCATTTTTTTAAGAGAATTTTCTTGCAAAATATTGTCTCATTATTTGACATAATTTGTCCTATAAACAACAATTTCTGGCCGCCCCGGGGGGGCTGTGGGGAGCAGGGGGTGTTAGACAAACCTATGTTGAGATTTAGCTATCTTGTCACTGAAGAACACAGCTGCCTCATATCGACACAATGATCTCAAGTGTAACCAACGAGGGGCGCTGTCCGTCTATCAGCTATAACTACTTGACACGAATAGCCTACATGATTGATCTCATCACTCTTGGCCATTTGTGTTTCACCCCTATAATTAAAAATAACGCATAAACTGTATTTTAATATGATATTTGAATATGTCATATCGAGTTGCGGACGCGCATTCATCAGGCCTAACATTAATAGCTCCTGTAAACAAAGTTTGCCAGGAAGGCTCAATCCTTTTAATCATTTCATTTAAAAAAAAAATTAATAAAAAATGATCAGAAAATAAATTAATGATAAATGTTGTCAGATTTTTCACAAATCTCAACACACAAGTATAAACTGAAGCTGACCTTTTAGAATAAAGCTACAAGTGACGTGAATTTTAAAACAAAGCAACTCTCAGAGTAAATGTGATTTTTTTTTTTTCTGCGCGATAGTTTGTGCATACACATAGGCCTAAATAAAAAACAATAATTTCAGCCACACACACACAAGATATCTTCTAGGTCTAAACAATGGAATAAAGATTGTTAGTTGAGTTGCTGTAAACAATAAGTGGGCTGACTGCTTATTTCTTCCATATGGAATGATGTGTATAACTGTAGGCGTATTTGATTAATATTTAATCGAGAAAGAATCACTTTAAAACAACCTCTGTGATAAAGCCGTGAGCGAACTTGCTTGGTGGCTGCTAATAAGATTTCTTTTTTTTCCCCTACTCCTTTTTTGCCAATCAATTCATTAGGAAACAATGCAGGTGAGCATAATGAAAGTGTTGTCCCAATAAAGTGCATCGATGGACAGCTGGGCAGCGGCCGGCTGATTGACTTTGCCTTGACATCTGGGAGGCCCGCTGGCCCCTGGCACGCGTGTAGGCTGATGTCGCCATTTACATGCAAATTTAAGGAGATCATGAGGGCCTCGCCCCGTAAATTCACACAAAAAAGAAGACGTCACCCTCAATACGGAGGAGGCTCGTCCCGTCGAGACGGGAGGTCTTCGAAGTCATCGTGTACATTTTTATTGGGTGCCACGCGTCCCGAGGAGTTTGGTTTTGTGTCGGTGGTCAGGCCCAAATCTTTGGGGGTTCATTCATTGTGGCCACTGAATAGAAGAATGAGATAACAACCCTGCCCGTGTCATCAACCGGTCATTTAAATGAGCATCCAGCCCTGGCTCACAAGATGCAAAGATCAGGGGAAAAAAAATAAATAGTTTGCACTTGTTTCTCCCTGCCTGTCAAACCCCATCACTTACCTCCTGCGTGCAGTTGAGAAACTGGCTTTTTTTTTTGTTTCTTTATTTTTATTTTTTTAAAAGGTGAGAAATGAGAAAATGTGAATAAGATCCTCTAATTCCACGCCCGTGCAAAGTTTTTATGCACCTAGCCACTAAAAAACAAACGGGGATCAACATTTCCTTTATTTTGATGCTAACATTTCACCTAATGATGGAGAGCGCATTTTCCACGGTGTAAGCCCACCACGCAGATGATCCCACAGAATGAGCTGAGACGGATTCAGGCTCCGCGCCTCAGTGTGTGGAGCAGCTGACTCCCTCTCTCCACGTCCAGATGGCTCCTGCACACAGATTTGCATTCATTTTCCTCTAATATCTTCTGAAATAGCGGGGCAGCTGCATTTGTTGTCAAATACGGTTTAAAACTCCCTTTCAGGACAGCATCGTTACCTACGTGACGGGTGTGGAGATCCATTTTCCCTCTCCAGTCAACAGTATCAGATCTAAGAGGATTTGTCTCAAAGTCTCCTAATTTGATAATCAGATTTAAATCGCCTTGGTGCGTGTAATCAGGGGTTAAGTTCTAATAAGCGACTTGAAACAGTGCAAAAAAAAGCATAGTGAGTTCTGTGCAAAAAAGATATTTGCAATCTTGGTAGAACAGACAAAACATTTGCAACACGCGTCTCGGTTTGTTTCATCTTAGAGGAAAAAAGATAACATTTTTTACAAAGCCCCCCCTTTGAGTTTTTTCCTGATATTCTTTTCACAAATTGAAACTTGGATTTCTCTTAAATAATAAAAAAAGTTACAAAAAATCCACACCCTCATTTTGTGACTGTGCAATTTGGCAATAGATTGTGTAGAGGTGAAAGCAACAGCTTATAATTCACTTATCTTTGGCAGCAGCTATTAACCCTCAGCACCAGCTAGATAGATTGCTCAGGATATAGCACACATCTCTCTTCCTCGCACCCTCCCCTCTCTCCCTCCATCCTCTCCTCCTTTTCACCACTAATGAACCGAATTGCCTGCTTGCCCCTCTCGGACAGAGTCGGACATGTAGGCAGTTGGCTCTTTAAAAATGATTAAGATGTTTCTGATTATTACTGATTTTACAGGACGTGCATGAAATAAAGAAGACACAGAACCATGGATTTCCTGAAGTTTGTTTAATGTCATGAGACACTGTGGCTCTGATATTTAGCCCATAAAAAGAGGTCAGAAGATCTGACTTTATCTTCTGTAAATGGCACAGTGATGTGATTGATTTGTTTTCACATTAATAATATGGTTGCTAAGAAACCGTGTCTGATTTTCCAACTTTGTTCATATTTTATGCTCAGCAATAAATAAAGAAATTCTCTGCTCTACGATACACAGCAAAACAACTGAAAGTCAATCATCTGCTGTTAAAAATTCCCAATGAAAAGTTAATGTAAATTAATAGATTTATAATCATGTCTGATTCTCTGAAATCAGCGTTATATTAATTAAATTTTAATTACAATAAAATAACCCGCAGCGTAGAGTTAAAAATGCACAATAGTGTATCAGTTATATGAAGAAACATGATCTGCCATTATTGAAATATGATTTATGGCCTGTATTCACACAGCTATTGAGATGCTTTCGATACATCAGTGAACAAACAATCTCATCAAGTCAAATTGTAATAATAATAACAAGTTTAATCGAATAAATATGTCAAATACTATTAATTTCAATCCAATATAACACAACTAATCACGGAAATCGCTATCATTAGGCCAGCTAAAAATAATAAGCAATGAATCCTGAATTCCGAGCTATTATTATGGATTATTATTTTTTTTATTATTATTTTCTTCTTTCTTTCTTCCTCATTATGTGTGATGGTTACACCCGGTTGAATTTTCCATATCATTAAAAAAATCAAACTCACCACATATAGGGCCTAAGCAAGAGGAAAAGTGGAGCGAATGAGCGTTCTCAGGCTGCTGCACTATAGGGCTGTACCCCTACAGTGGAGCGCCGCTGCCTGACAGGAACCGTCAGAGCTCCATATATGGTCAAAACCACGCCCCTTCAGCGTCATATTCTGACAGCGCCTCTCCCGTGGGTTTAGAGTTTTGGCTCCCGGGAAAGATTTCAGTCCTCGGGGAAAGAGGGCTTAGTTTTGCATGTTCCCATCCATCCTGCACGACGCGAAAGGGCCCCTTATCCACCTCTCCTGTGTACTAGGAACACCTCCACTGGTGATCAGCCTTTGCCTGTGTTTGTCTTGTGGAGAAGCAGCAGCACCTTTTCAGGAGTGGGTTTTTTATTCAACAAGAAGTCCTGAAGGTTTTGGATGCGGTGCTTCAGGGATGTGGGCACTTTGAGAGCAGCATCACCCACAAACACAAACAACTGCCATCGATTTTTCTGTGAATAGCACAAAAAAAAAAGAGAGAGAAAAAACAAAGAGGAACAATAGCAACACAAAAAAAAATCTTGTCTATTGAACAATTCACTTTTCCAGTCTGTGGATACCGCTCTAACTAAGTACAGCACTTTGAGAATTGTTCACATCGGACGGACTGAAGAGGGAGGCAAGACCTGTGGACCGGGTTTTCCCTCGCAAGTCTGAATCGGCTCTCGCTACTTATCCCGTGAACAAAAAAAAAAAAAAACAACCCTAAAGGATAACACGCTTGGACGTTTATTTTTTTCCCCTTCTTAATTTCGCAGGAGGCTCTTTTTCACGCAAATTGTCCTAAATGTTTGGGATTCAGGAAACTATACCGCGGGGTGGGACGACGATGAAGGAGGAACCGCTGGGTGGACTGAACTCGGTCCGCTCCTGGATGCACACAGCTGGGGTGGTGGATGCAAACACAGCCGCCCAAAGGTACGCATGCCAAAAGCATCTGATTTTTCTCACGCATTCCCTCCTCATCATATCGACCCCTCAATCCCCTGAATACTCTGTATCAATTACGGTCTCCCAATAAATGCCCCCCCTTCGGCTTTCCCCTTCTTTCATTACATCAGATTACCCCATTATTGTGACAAATCAAGAAATCTCCCCCGTACTCGAGCGTGCTTCTGCATCTCCAATGTTTCCATCAGCTTCTCCATCATCTAGTATCCCCGGTGTCCGGTGCTTAACCGAGATGGTCTCTTGTTTTCTCCCCGCAGCGGTGTCGGCTTGGCACGGGCACATTATGAAAAGCAGCCCCCTTCCAACCTCAGAAAATCCAATTTTTTCCATTTCGTCCTGGCGCTGTATGACAGACAGGGTCAGCCCGTGGAGATCGAAAGGACAGCTTTTGTGGACTTTGTGGAGAAGGAAAAAGTAAGCGGTGTATTTTTGTTTTTTAGAAATACATGCACCCCCTGTACATAATCAGCACATGTATCGAAATTATGTTCTCTGAAATGGCAATGGGTTACTAAAGGGGATGTCACGTGTAATATTGATTTTTTTTTTAAACTCAATTGGTTGATGACAGAGAGTCGTTTTAACAACTAAAGCTGTTTCTCTTCTTTTGCACAGAAACTATAAATATTTCCCCCCCCCATGCACACAGACATGTGGTGGTGATGAGGCGGTTGTTTTGTTGATGCTGATTTTCACAAAACTGTTGTCTCCTGCAGGAACCAACCAGTGAAAAAACTAACAATGGGATACATTACAAACTACAGTTATTGTACAGCAATGGTGAGTTCAAGTGTCATTCATATTTTCCAAACACGTGGAAATATATCAAACATTAGTTGGCGTGTGTGCATAAAACCACATTTAATAATAATTTGAATAGCGGTAATAATAATAAAAAGCAGTCTGGTAATTTTATAAACTCTGTCTGAGCTCTTTATATATTTTTTATTACCTGTTACTAAACTTCTTTTTTGGAGGGCTTTCTGTTTTTATGTTTTAGTTTATTGCCTACAGTGCCTCAAAATTCACAAGTGGTCTCCTTTTTTCTCTCCCCAGGCGTCAGAACAGAACAGGATCTTTACATACGGTTAATCGATTCCATGACGAAGCAGGTAAGCTGCTGTTACACTTGTTTCTACGCACAGTGCAACACAGTGCTCACATCCATAGTTCACTTGTGCAAAACCCTAACACGCCGTGCAAATTGTCACCCCTGAGATCCACATACACACACACACGTCACGCTTTTCGAGAACAACAAAAAGTAAAAAAAATAAATAAAATCTCGCTTGAAAAAATTGCAGTTGTGGCACAAAATAAAATCAAATTACCGGTGTAACAAGAGCAGACAGCTTCCATTTTGACTGTTTATGCTCGGCCATATCATATTGCAAGACTCTAAAGTCAATTTTACTCTACCCAGAGTTAGGCTTCTTTGCAGAGGTCAGTTTGTCCAACATTAAAATTTAAACACTACGTCTACTCCATATGATCTGATATGAATTTTCCTGCAAAGAGTCAGAGGTGACGCTCTAAAGATATTTAAAAAAAAATAAAAATGGCACCAAGTATTATATTTATAAATATAAATATTTTTGCAGATGTGCTTTTCACTCATCTCCCTCACAAACAGGAGTGACTTTAAAACTCCCAGCGCACAAAATGTGATGATTAAGTATTAATGCACAATTTAAGTCAACGCACAGATTTGTAAAAGGTAATTATAATTATGGAAATAAAATCAGATACTGTTATTTCAGCCCTCCATTTCACTTCTCGTTATTAAATAGAGGTTTTAGGTAGAGGCTTTTCTGAATAGAGCCGTGAAGCCTGGACCACTGGTCACAGACAACATTCCTCTGCGAATGATCCGAGTCAATGACGCAGAACAAGCAATTTATGGATTTGTGTTTCTACAGCTGCAAATAGCGACATAAATCAAACCAATATAGATAATCGCCCGGTTCCCAGTAAAAAAAAAAAAAGAAAAAGACAGAAAAAAAGAAAACATCAGGTCAAGTAGGACAGCTTTTAAAAGCGAGAGAGTGATGCGACCTGGTTCAGATATGTCACTTTTTTCAAAGTCACTCTCTTATATTTGGCCTCAAACGTGCCAGAAAAAAATAAAATGAAAATAAAATTATGAATGGCATAAAAAAAAACATTAGGAAACAACACGCTGCTTTATTTAACCTACTTGTATTTTTGTTTGCGTTATTTCTGCGGTATTTTGTCAATAATGTGGTGCTTTGCCTGCGTTTACACTTGGTGCCGGTTCAGTATACGAGGGAGTGAAGTGTCTATCCTTAGAAATGGAAGAAGGAGGGAGGGATCGAGGGAGGGAGAGAAGAGCGGCAGAACTGATAGCTCCACGCCATCTGTTTCAGCCAATGCTCAAAAATTACTCAACCGTACCGCCAGACACCGCTTTTTATCCACAGAAAGATCATTGTTAGCGGCTCAAAATAAACAACAGATTGCCCATTAACACTTTCCCCCAAATATCCCCAGATTATAAGCATATTGATGACACTTCTATTGGATCTCTCCTTAGGAAAATCTCTCTGTCTCTCTCCCTTTCTCTGTCTGTCTGTCTGAGCCACAGGATATTATCTAGATTAATAAAAAAAATACAATTTATTGTTATCATCATCATCATCATCATAATCATTACCATTAATTCTGTGATTATATTTTTATTATTATTACTGGCACTAGAAATGTTGTTGGTGTTATTATTATTTAGTTATTTTTGTAATTGTTTATTTAGCTAGGTGTCATTGATGTTTATATTAATTTATGTAATTTATAACACTGGGAGACTGATGTGATTATCTTAACCATGTTTTTTACTTAACCTTAGCACCCATGTAATATATTCTGTTGTCCTAACACTGTGTGTATTCATGCCCTGATTTATTTAGCTTAGTGTAATAATAGCAGATACGTGAGTGTAATTATTTGTGAATTTGTGTGAATTAATATGTGTTTAAGAGACGACTGTGTTCTCACTTTATTTCCATCTCATTTCCTCTCAAAGGCCATAGTTTATGAGGGCCAGGACAAGAATCCAGAAATGTGCAGAGTTCTTCTTACTCATGAAATTATGTGCAGGTAAGCATTATTTTTTTTTTTTTTTGCTCAGTCCATTTTGCAGATCCAGGCAAAAAGTAATTCCCACCCCTTCAATAAGTTTTGACACTCATGATGTGATGCAGCAATCCAGACTGTCCTGTGGTCCTTCAGCAACCACAGAGAGAGAGAGAGCTGCTGTCATTTCCAACTTTGATATGATGTGATTCAACTTTGATATGGATATGAATATGACAGTGAAAATGAACTGACTGTCTTTTTCAGTGAAGGGAAATTGAATATATAATAAACAGCCAGTGACACAGTACACAAATTATGTTTTTTAATTTGCACTTTATTTATTTTTTATAGTTTAAGAATTGTATGTCATTATTTAAGCCTGCCAGGGACAATGTGCTTTCTGTTAAGTTATGCATAGACGTTGCATGCTATTTATCAGGTTTTTTTTCTTTCTAGCACAGAGTCAGTTCTCGGTTGATCCCACCTGTCAACAATGATCAGCGAGCCTTTTAGCGTCATTTAACCACATAAATCTCAACCTCTCATATTGCGCTGCTATTCAGCGGTGTCATTGATACTAAAAGGAAAAACGCCTTTTGTTGTTATTGTTGAGCTCAGCATGAGCTTTGTGAACATTGAATTCGGATACTGTCGGTTAACCTCTCCTTTGTTGCACCGGTGCATTGTTCAAGTTACTGGTTGAGAGCAAGTGCAGCATGAGAGCTGAGAATGATTTGTCTTTTTCCATGCATAAACTCATCACTCACACTCAATTTATACATACATCCATCACTTATTTGTGACACGTTGAATATGCTCGTGCTCTAGAGGTAATTTTTTTTTTGTCAAGAAGTGCATTTTGCTGCTGAATAAAGAACTACTTTAACTGCTGCCTATTATCAGATAAGAAGATATACATAATAAGGACAGTTATAATCAGAATAATCTTTTGATATCTTATCTTATTCTATCTTATTTTGTAGGCTTGTAATGCACTAGTTTTTGAATTATATTTTTGCTATAATACTTTGAGGCGCCTTAGCTATAAAACACATCTTTATTATGGCTGCTAGAAAGTCATGTAAATCAGACATATTTAAATAGCGTGCGGTTGACTGACAGTAGCTTTGCACAAAATCTTTGTTTTTCTTTCTGCACCATATGGCATAAATCAATCTTATTCACATATGTTTATATGTTTTCATTTCAAATTGAAGCTGGGATGATGTATTTGTTTATTTTTGCAGTTTTCATTCAAGTCCCAATCAAAGACGTGAGAAGCAGCTAGCTATAGGCTTAGGGAGGAGATGGCTGAAACATGTGGTGGAAGATAGATTAGTGCTTTTGAGGCCATAATTGATAAATGCCCCGCAGAAATATTGGTTGAGGGTGGCACCTTGCATCTCCCTCAGAAATAGCAGCTTGGCAATTAGAGGTAAACAAAAGCTGAAGCTGTGAAAAGTGACTCCCCTGCCTCCTGGCCCAATCCCCACTCCCCTCCCCTCCAACACTAAGCCAAACAACACAACATGTTGTTTTCACCATTTTTATCAGCCATCAGCATCAATGGAATGGATAGATTGAGTGAAGGAAATCTCATGGCAATTTTTTTTCCCGATATCAAAACCACTCCAAGGCACTTAATAAATGTATGTGGTTTTGTGTGCATTATTTATTTATTTTTATTTATTTAGCAAAGTATTGCTTGTTCTGTAACACTGTCTGTCTCTGTTCCCATAGCCGATGCTGTGACAAGAAAAGCTGTGGAAACCGGAACGAGACTCCATCAGACCCTGTGATCATTGACAGGTAGGCTGCGTGCGGCTTCTTTCCATGTTTGTGAACGAGGGAATGAGTAAGTGAATGAGTGAGTGTCTGAGGGACTAAATGGATGTGTGACCGAGTGGATGAGCAGGCGCATGGACGAGCTAGTGAACAAATGAGTTCCCTCCTGGTGTGCCAGGCGGCCCAGTTGGGCTGACTTGCATCTTATAGCCCACAGTGTGGGAACTGTGGGTGATTCTGTGTGAGCGGCTGAGGGGCGTCTTTCCCAGGTACCTGTGCACCGAGGGGCGGTCACCACCTGGATAGGGTTTGTTCAATCACAGGTGGTTCAATCACTAGAGGATCATGCTGGGAATACACCTAATTAGCTTAGGCAACTTCACATTTATTTGGCTGGCTTCCCTTCTTTGTTTACGACAGTGATGCTTACACTGTCAATAGTTGTTTTCATTGACTGTTTCCTTCTCTCAAGTTAGCTGTGAGCTAGATGCCATTAAAGTTTAGTTTTAGAAGGGATAAACATTTTATGTCTGCTGTTTTGTTCTGCACCTTCAGGGAAGTTACATCTGCCACATTTATATTACCTTCATCACTTTCTAAAGAGGGAGAATAAATGGTCTTCTTTCAGGCATTGACATTTTTCTCACACTGTGAAACTATATGCCCTGGTCAGTCTGAATATGTTTAGGTAGATGCGTATGTGTGTGTTTGTGTGTGCGTTGGATATAGGGGTGAGGTAGGGGGTGTAGCTTGAGCGTCGATCTCAATGTAACTCTCACCACGTAGTAGGGAGAGACAGCAATGCTAATGTTTGACTAGCCGGAATCACTGTTTGCTTAGTGGAGAATGCCTGGTATCTGACAGAGGGGACAACTCTCTTATTAGTAATCAAATAGGGCTGAGCAGTTGTTGCTGCCACTCCACTCCAGCGGCTTCTCATGCATCAGGAAGTAGGAGCTGGCTGCCCTGGGAGCCTGGATGGATTACCAGAGCTACTGATGTCTGAACTCAAACTCACACAGACACACACGAAGATGCACGCACAGACGAGGACACAAACACACAGAAAGACACCCGCACACAAGCATGCGTGTCCTCATGTGCACGCATGCGGTGTGTATGTTGTTTATGCTTTTATGCTTGACAGTTAAAGTGCATCACATACAAGAAAAGTACTGAGGTGTTTAGGATAATGTCAGGAGCTTTTTTTTCGCTGTATCTGGTACCATATGGATAGCTTAATTTATTAGTCAAGTGCATTTGTTAGCGAAGGGACTAACATTAACATATAACTTGAGACGTCTACTTTGCCTAATTTCCGCTGCTTTTATGTTTGCTTTGTGTCGCTCTGCTGCCTTTTACTGCTTAGAGTTTCGCACACCATTGTTCTTCAATCTGTGGGACAAAACATGTAACATAAGTACAATAAGCAAAATGAATGCACAGAGAATTAAAGTCAAGAAGAGGGGTGGGAAAAAAAAGAACAGGGAAAAAAGAAGCGGATGGATATTGTAAGCTCAACTGGCTCAGGGAGGGCTCGGATTTTCATTGTGACGAGTCTGAATAGGAGTAGAGTATCCCTTTCCTTGCACAATGAGCGGCTCTGTTGAAACACAAAAGCATATGTTCCTCATTAGACCCTCCCATTGTCTCCATGTCGTAACTATGAGCCCGTCAGCTCACCCTAACAGACCCACACAGGTTCCCAGTGACTGAAGGAGGCTTGCAGAGAGGGGTGCTTGTGAAAGGTTGCAGGGTTTAGCAAGAGTTACGGACATGACCAGAGCACACTGTAGAGTTGCTACGTAAGATTATTTACCGCAATCACTTGACTATTCCCGCTGTGCATATGGGTAAGCTTTTAGTTAAAGCTTCCATGTTTTACAGCCATTTCTGTTACATCTGTCATTTTCTCATGCACATCATTACAGGCACCTGTGCTGCGGTCGCTGCTGGCAGAAACTGATTATTTCCAATTGAGTAGAACATAGTTGAGTGACATAAACCTAGAGGAGAGGTTTGATTGTTGAATCAGGCATGTCTCATCTGTCTACAATTACAGTATGAAAACCAGCTAGCACTGCCACATTTCCTAGAGAAACAGTAGCATGGCCGAACCTTAAGAAACAGATTTGGAGTGAATCATTGATGGCGTTCATTCGCTGTAACATTTTCCCAGATGGTAAGAGGGGAAAGCGCACACAGCTAGCTGGCATCTAGCAAGACATTAACTGGCGTTCCCATGGATCTGGCATATCCAACGGAGTTTGGGAAACTTATCATTCCAAATGTGTCCTATTTTCCTGCGGTCAAGCCAGACATCTGTTTACCCTATTTTCTCTCAGAGTTTTGATACAGATTTTCACTCAGATTTTTGAAGAGGAAGGATTCTCTTTAAAAAAAAAGTTGGTTAGATATAGGCCCAACAGCTGTCACAAAGTTTCAGCACTGCTTGGTCTTTAAATATTTCAGCACTTACATTTGATGCCCTTGCATTATTCATACTTCTTTTTGGATGAAGAAAGGCCCTATTTTAGTTGCATTTTGGTGGGTTTATGTGTTGTGACTTAAATTTCAATATCTTTTGGGAACGTCTGTACATATTTCGCTCTTAAAAAAAAAAGTCTATTGTCTCTCAATAGCGTGAGCGTATTTTTTTTCTTTCTTCCAGCAACAGTTCAGAAAAAAAGGAATCATTTGATGCGTACGTTAAATAAAAGAAACAGTAAATGTATCTAGTGACTAGTTGTAGCACTGTTGCTATGGCCGCATTACTTTTCAGTTCGGTATAATCATCTCTCCCTTTTATAAATCCAGCAGTGCTACAGATGTCACATTTATAAGTTAATGGTGCCTTAAAGTAAGTGGGGGTGTAGGTTTATTCAGTAGGTAATTTGAGTCTTTAGAATTATAGTGATGAGGTACCCAATATCTGATTAGATGGTTTTCCCATTTACAGTGCATGTAGTGTATAGCCAAACATAACTCAATTTGCGATGACTCTCCTGGTCTGGTATCTGTCTTCACTCTCTTGCATATTGACTTTGTCTTCTCTTGTGTGAAAGATTAGATACATTGTTCAGGCTTACACATGGATTTTGTAATAAGACAGCACATGTTGTTGAAAGAGGAGAGAAAATGACTCATTCTGTGTGTCAGGGTTCAAAGGTCACGTTTTACTCTGAGAAGCTGGAGCAATTTATGCAAGTAGAATTGAGACAGACGGACAGAGAATGTGTTATCAATGTGTATTCTACCCATATATGAATTTTGAATTTAATGTATGTTCATACAGTTTAACATCCTGTGTCAATTTACGCTGCCATTCACAAACGGATTCTGGACCAGATCTAAACATGTCAGCTCCATTTATTCCAGCGGCTACGGCACTCCCTTTCACTTCCTGTCACAAAGGTCAAAGAGCACTGACCTTTGGAGTGCAGCCCAGCCACTGAATAATTCATGACATTGACTTGTTTTTTCCCTTATTTTTCCCTGTGTCTCTTTTTTTGGTCAGCACACATGGTTGTGCTGTGGGAGGCTTTTATTCATTTAGCTCATTTATAAAGGCCTCACCGCACCTGTTCGTGTGTTAATGCAATTAAATTTTGGCCTAATGTAAATTTTGCTTAGCTTTCCGTTCTGTCCCTCATTAGTGAGCCTGTATTTTCTAAATGACTTTGCGTTATCGTTCATTTGTGGAACACCTACGAGGTCATTTCCCAGAGTGCACTTGACTTGTTGTCAAGTTGTTTACCAGAAACAAAAGACCGCAGTCTTAGAACGTCTCACATGTGGTTCCCTCGGCCTTCTAAGAAACAAATCGGAAAATTTGTGTGCTCCCATCTGGTTTTTGCAAAACCGTGATTACCTCCAAAAGCTGAACAAATGCCAGTATTTATAAGGTCAGCCCTTTATGTGGAAATGTGATGTAAATGAGAATCAGCGAAAGGGGACATTAAACAAAATTAAATTCATTGTCTCCTTTAATGTCATTTACATTTTTGGCTAAGCCCTGGACTGTCAAAGAGGATTTCTAAAACCATTTTAATTGCACATCAGCATAGGAAAAGAGGGTGTGTTTTCACTGAGCGGCTGTCTTGATAACCTGCGAAGAGAAGTCTGTTTATGAAGTACCTAAATGACATGTTTTCACTGCATCTGCAGAGGGGCAATTAAGATGGCACTCAGTAGGTAGTGTTAATCTAGCGCTGTGCTCCCACCATCCATAATGAAAATGATGCAGTGGATGGGGTCACTGTTGTTGTGATTGAGAGTTGATTGCTGCAGGTGTTCCTTCTGGATTTTTTACATTATACCATTGAGCCGTGGGACCTGCCCTGCAATGTTTTTACAGGCTTTACAGTGAGTCATTTAAAGCTGTTAACTTGTATAGGAAATGTTCTCTTTCTATATTTACACATGCATGCAAACACCTGCGTGTACCTTTTTAGTTGTGGCTTCACAATAAATTAATTTCAGCCTTTTATTTATGGCTGTGTTTGGAGTAATTCAAGTGACAGATGTGAGTTTTTGACTCCCATTGAGAAATGGGAGAATAAACTGGCCACCCCTGCCTAAGTCGACGTGATGTTTGAGTGAAGCCTGTCTCCTCCCGAGCCAGAGTAGGAAGAGCAGGAAGTGTTGAGAGCGAAAGCTGTACTTGGCAGCTCTCCTTTGGCTTGCACTTGCCGAAAAATGAAACCCAGACCCTCTCTGCAGCCCCAGAGCCAGAACCTTCTTCCCAGTGCTCCAACATCCAGGATTGGGTAATACTGTTCACTAAGCAAAACATTACCTCAAATTATTCTCGCCCTGTTTTCTATTCCCTCCTCCCTCATGTCGGTTTTATCGCAGTTTGTAAATGTCAAGACACGTACAAAGACGCACAGTATAAATGATATTTTCCAAATTATGCTCACATGTTTGGGTTCACATGAGTGGCGGCTGAACGTAACGTGGTGCCTGACGTTCCCAAGGGAGACCCACCTCACTAGGGTAGGATTCCCCAGTGGCATCAGCTA